CATCTATAGTTTTCCCTTCTCATAATGTGTTTATGGAAAGATTGTAGATAACTGGAATGGTTTCTTCCTTAAAAATTTGATAGGATTCAAAATCAAACATATCTTGACTTATTGCTTTTTTTAAAAAAAGTTATCAATTATTCATATTTCTTTAATAGAAATTGATTCATATTTCTTATTCAGGCTATAAATGTTTGTTGTTACAAAACATGGTGTTCATATTTTTCAAGAAACAGATCCATTTCACCTAATTCATCAAATATGTAAGCATAGAGTTATTTATTATATTCTTATATTGCCCTTATAATGAGTTATGGAATCTGTAGTGATATCCTCTCTTCTGTGTTTTTTCCTTTGAGTCACTCAGATGTAGTGGCACCCCCTCTTTCACAGAAAATCTTAACTAAGCTTCTCCAGAAATCTTCTTCATGATTGATTTTAGGACTATAAGCAAAAGAGTCTCTTCAAAAATAGTTCAATGTAAGTAAACTTCTTATTTTCCTGTTGCTCCATTTTCCTTGGCCACTGGCCTGGAAGAAATCAGCACTCCAGGAGCTGCACACCCCTTTAGTTATTTTTCACAAACATTTATCCAGTATAGTAGTTTGTAGAAGTGTGTTTACAAATGAAAAATTTGATAATAAAAAGATAATTCTTTTAACAAGGCCACTGGCCTTGAGCTGGGGCTTCACAGAGATGTCTACATTGTAAGAGAAGTTACCAATTGGGCTCCATGGTAACAGCTGGCAGGGGGAGAAAAGAAAGAAAGTGCTCCCCTTCTCATGTGTTGTCCTTGAAGGGTTAACTTGCCCAAAGCAGTGAAAGAAAAAGCTGCTTTTATGTGAACTTCTGCAGACTGTGAACTTCTGAGCCTCTTCCCTTATATGCTGGGTATAAAGTTCTAAAATTACCTGAACTCTAGGTTCAGAGGATTAATTGATTACAGCCAAAGCTGTACCCTCTGAACCTGGTTGTAGCCAAATAAAATTGTTCCCTGCTATCTTCAGTGCCTTGCCTCCTCTGTCCCTACAACATGAATAGAATATTATCAGTGTTAGTTAAATTTTAAAACAATCTGGGGTTTAATAATATTATCTATTGATTTTCTATTTATAATATCGTTGATATTAGTTCTCATTTCTGATTTTACATTTTCATTTTCTTCTGCTTATTTATATTGTTTTTTCTTTTGTTTCTTAAAGTGGAAACTTAGATAATTAAATTCAGATTTCTTCTTTTCTAATATATACATTCAATGTTATAAATTCTATCTGATTTTTGTTATTCCATTTTTTTAAATTTTTAATTTGTTCTAATTATTATATAAGACAGTAGAATGAATTTTGCCACATTGTATACAAATGGAGCACAATTTCTCATTCCTCTGGCTGTATGTGGTGCAGACTCACACCAGTAGTGTAATCATACATGTATATTGGGTAATATAATATAATTCTACTGTCCTTCCACCCCCATAGTCCCACGCCTCTTCTCACTCCCTTCTTCACAATCCAAAGTTCCTTCATTCTTTCCTACACACTATGCATCAGCATCTGCTTATCAGAGAAAACATTCAGCCTTTGTTTTTTGGGGATTGGCTTAGTTCACTTAGCTTCATGTTCTCTAATTCCATCCATTTACTTGCAAATGCCATAATTTTATTCTTCTTTCAGGCCAAGTAACATTCCATGGTATATATGTACCATATTTTGTTTATCCATTCATCTGTTGAAGGGCATCTACATTGGTTTCATAGTTTAGCTATTGTGAATTAAGCTGTTATAAACATTGATGTGGTGCATCACTGCACTATGCTGAATTTATGTCCTTTGTGTATAAACTGAGGAGTGGGATAGCTGGGTCAAATGGTGGTTCCATTCCAAGTTCAATCTCCACAATGATTTCCATAGTGGTTGCACCAATTTGCAGTCCCACCAGCAATGTATGAGTGTACCTTTCCTCCCACATCCTCGCCAACACTTATTATTGCTTGTATTTTTGATAATTGCCATTCTGACTAGAGTGAGAAGATATCTTAGAGTAGTTTTGATTTGCATTTCTCTAATTTCTAGAGATTATGAACATTTTTTCATATGTTTGTTGATCAATTATATTTTATATTCTGTGAAGTGTCTGTTCAGTTCCTTAGCCCTAACATTACATCTCAAAGCCCTAGAAAAAGAAGAATAAACCAACACCAAAAGCAGTAAAAGACAGGAAATAATTAAATCAGGAGCAGAAATACATGAAATTGAAACAAAAGAAACAATTGAAAAATTGACAAGGTGAAAATTTGGTTCTTTGAAAAAATAAATAAAATTAGTAAACTCTTAGCTACACTAATGAAGAGAAAGAGAGAAATTAGTAAAACTCATGATGAAAAGCAAAGATCACAATGGACATTACTGAAATACAGAAAATAATTAGAATCTATATTGAAAATTTATACTCCAATAAAAATGGAAATTATCAAAGACATCGACAAATTTCCAGAGACATATGATCTACTCTAACTGAATCAGGAGGACATACCCAATTTAAACAGATCAATCTCAATCAATGAAATAGAAGATGCTATCAAAAGCCTACCAACTGAGAAAAGCCCAGGACCAGACAGATTCTCATCTGAGTTCTACAAGACTTTCAAAGTAGAATTAACAACAATAGTCCTCAAATTATTTTGTGAAACAGAAAAGGAGGGAACCCTTCCAAACTCATTCTATGAAGCCAGTGTCACCCTGATACCAAAATCAGACAAAGACAAATCAAGGAAAGAAAACTTCAGAACAATATCCCTAATGAAAATAGATGTAAAAATTATCAATAAAATTCTGTCAAATTACACACAAAAATGTATTAAAATAGTGCACCATGTGATCATGGGGTTCATTTCAGGAATGCAAGGTTTCTTCAACATATGGAAATCGATAACATAATTCATCACATCAACATACTTAGAGAAAAGAATTTTATGATTCTCTCAATAGATGCAGAAAAAGCATATGACAAAATTCAGCATCCAATCATGTTCAAAACACTAAAAAAAACTACAGATAGAAAGAAGGAACATACCTCAACATTTTGAAAGCTATCTATGCTAAGCCCAAGGCCAATATAATTGTAAATGGAGAAAAATTGAAAGCATTCTCTATAAAAATTGGAACAAGACACTGATTCCCTGTTTCACCATTTGTATTCAAAATAGTTCTTGAAACTTGAACCAGAGAAATTAGTCAGACAAAACAAAAAAAGTGATAGGAATAGGAAAAGAAGATCTCAAACTATCACTATTTGCTGGTAATGTGATTCTATATTTAGAAGATCCAAAAATTCTACCAGAAAACTTCTATAACTGATAAATGAATTCAGCAAAGTAGCAGGATATAAAATCAATACCCATAAATCAAATACATTTCTATATATATTCAATGAATCCACTGAAAGAGAAACTAGGAAAACTACTCCATTCATAGTAGCCTCAACATTAGAGAACATTAGAGAAAGAATTTGAAGAAGACCTTAGAATATAGCAAAATCTATCAGTTTTTATCTCTAACAATTCCCCTTAATACATGCTAGCTCTTAACACAAACTGGGCAAGTACTATTTTCATTTTCATTTATTTCAAAATATATTAAAATTTTATCTTGGGGCTTGTTTTAAACTCACATTCTATTTAGAGGTTTTTGTTTAATCTTCAATTACTTTGGGATTTTCCACTTGTATTTCTGTTACTTTTTAGTTGAATTCTATTGTGATCTGCTATATTTTGGATCCAGAATTTCCCAAAAGACCCCTGTGTTGTAAGTTTGCTGCCCTACTTGGCATTACTGGGAGGTAGTAGAAATTTTAAAAGATAAGGTATAGTTGGAGTTTTTCAGGTATTTGAGGATATGCCTTGAAGGAAATCGTGGATTCTTAGTCTCTTTCTCTTCCTCTCTCTTTGATTTCCTGGCTACTAATGAACAGTTTTGTTTTGTCATACATTTCCATCACAATGTGCTTCCTCATTACATGTCGAAATCAACAGGGCCAATGTGTCATGGCCTAAAACCTCCAGAACAATGAGCCAAAATAAAGCTTTGCTTTTTATAACAATCTATCTAAGGTATTTGTTACCATAATAGAAAGCTGAATAACACTGGTCAGAGATCATGGATTTCATCATTTCTGTCTTTAAATAATTTGTTGTGATGTGTTTTATATTACAGAATATGATCTATTTTTATGAATGTTACATGTGAGTATGAGAAGACTCTGTATTCTTCTGTTGTTGGATGAAATGTTCTATAAATGTCAATTAGAGGCTGTTGATTGATGGTGCTGTTCAGTTCAACTATATCTTTACTGATTTTCTGTCTGCTGGATCTGTCAATTACATATACAGGGGTGTTGAAATCTCCAACTATAATAGTAGATTTATCTCTTTCTCTTGGAAATTCTATCAGTTTTGGCTCATGTATTAAGTACTATTACGCCTTTTCGGAGAAGTGACTAATTTACTATTATGAAATGCTCATTTTTATCCCTGATAATCTTCTTTTTTCCAAAATCAACTTTATCTAAAATTAATATACCTAGGTAAGCTTTTTTGTTAGTGTTATCATGTGCGTGATTTGTGTTCATTACTTTAATATGGTATTTCTTCATATTTTAAATGGATTTCTTATAGATAACAAATATTGTTGCCTTGCCTCTAGTCATTCTCTTAGTGTCTGATACATGTTTCAAGTGATTATTGGTATAGTTGGATAATTATCTTGCATGTTTGTAATTATTTTCTATTCATTTCCTCTCATTCTTTGTTTATTTTTTGTTTACTTATTTTTTAAATTAAGAATTGAAGAGTCATGCGGGGCATGGGGCAGTGCTGAGGACCTGAGGCTGTGGCCAGCTTGATGCCAGGACTGACCAGCGAGTGCAGCGGAGAGGGAGACACTGAGACTGTTCAGTGAGTGCAGAGCAGTGGGTGCTGGCAGCTAGAGTAGCAGGAGCCCCAGCCCCACTGCCTTTCGTGGAGCCCAGGAGAGCCGGCCATGGCATTGTCCCTGCCGCTGAATGGGCTGAAGGAGGAGGACAGAGAGCCCCTCATCGAGCTCTTCGTTAAGGCTGGCAGTGATGGTGAAAGCATAGGAAACTGCCCCTTTTCCCAGAGGCTCTTCATGATTCTTTGGCTCAAAGGAGTTGTATTTAGCGTCACAACTGTTGACCTGAAAAGGAAGCCTGCAGACCTGCAGAACTTGGCTCCTGGGACACACCCACCATTTATAACTTTCAACAGTGAAGTCAAAACGGATGTAAATAAAATTGAAGAATTTCTTGAAGAAGTCTTATGTCCTCCCAAGTACTTAAAGCTTTCACCAAAACACTCAGAATCAAATACTGCTGGAATGGACATCTTTGCCAAATTCTCTGCTTATATTAAGAATTCAAGGCCAGAGGCTAATGAAATGCTGGAGAGGGGACTCTTGAAAACACTGCATAAACTGGACCAGTATCTGAATTCTCCTCTCCCTGATGAAATTGAGGAGAACAACATGGAGAACATTAAGTTTTCTACACGTAAATTCCTGGATGGCAATGAAATGACACTAGCTGATTGCAACCTGCTGCCCAAACTGCACATTGTCAAGGTGGTGGCCAAAAAATATCGCAACTTTGATATTCCAGAAGGAATGACTGGCATCTGGAGATACCTAACTAATGTCTATGGTAGGGATGAGTTTACCAATACCTGTCCCAGTGATAAGGAGGTTGAAATAGCATACAGTGATGTTGCCAAAAGACTTACCAAATAAAATAGCACTTACGAGAGAGAGATGTCTTCAGATCTTTCCCTAAGAATATGCTTTTCCTAACAGACTGCTCATCTTCCTATAAAGTAGAAATGTGTTTTGCATGAACATGCAGTTATTCAAGATTAGGATCAAGGGTAGAAAAGGTATAGTAGTTATCTTAAAATATACACTCCTAAGAAGTAAAATCCTCTTATCTTGCCAACAACCTTCCCTACCAATTGTGTCCTCCTCTCCTGTAACTTGGAGACACTCCATCACAAACCCTCCACTTGAGAGGCAGTTTGCCATCTCTCTGAAGTCCTTACCATTCTGTGCATACATGGCAGAGCTTTTGAGTTTCAGTGTTTAACTGTTAAGGTAGTAGCTATGACATCAGTCAACTGCAAGTTGGTGCATAATACATGGTACATGAAGTAGTCATGTACTTTCTGGAATTTTGTAATATTTAGTAAGAGTATATGAAATGATTGCTACTGTATCAGAGATACTTTCAATTGAGTCTACCCTAGATACATCCTGAAAGACACCACCACCAGAGAACACCTTGTACAGAAAGTCACTACACATTCTACTGTTCTTTTGTAGACAGATTTTTAGTTTTGCCTAAAATCATTTATCCTTCATACAAATTGTGACATCTGACACTATGTGGAAGGTGAAAGTTTAGAGGGAGGGATGCTACTCTCAAGATCGCAAACATTTTTTCCTTAGAAGAGAACTGATGGGTATCTGATACTCTAAATGTGTTGTTCTTATGTGTGTTTTGCCCCGTGCCATTCATTTGGAAGAGTGTCACCTTCTTTATTTAAAAAAGCTTCTTTTTAGGTAACCACCTCGTTGTTTGTAGATATTTTTGAGCAACACTACATATACTGACACATAGTTGCCATAGCTCTAGCCGTGCAGTGATTAGTAATGTAAAAATTAATGAATACAGAAGTTAGTCTAAAGAATGTAGAGTGGGTTTGTCAAAATGTCAAGTACATTTTGTTTCTAAAGCATATTTAATGTAGATTAAATCTGGAGAGTGCATTATCTATTCTGTTTTGAGAACCATAAAGCATATATTACCAACTCTCACACCACCTGTTTACTATGGGACTTTCCACAGAAGGTGGTTCACTTTGTATATACAGATTGCAGTGTTAGGGTGAGGGTATGTTGTTAAATTTTTCTGCAGTTACAATTAATTGAGAAATAGCACTCTAGGTGTGGACTTTTGACTTTGTCATTTAAATTGGAAGTCCTAAATTATAAATTATTTGTGCTCTAACAAGAATGAACTTGGTGTATTTATTCCAAAGAAAACAAACCAAGATGGACTTTCTTAATACTGTTCCAAAGACTGTGGTTGTGACTATAATAACATTTGTATACCTAACTTGTTTAAGATGTGCTATTTCTCATAGGCTTTTCTTTCTTTTTTTAAAATTTGCTTTAAGGATTTTAAGAATATTTTCTCCCCTTTGATATGGTGACATTTAGTAAGCACTGGCTTTATGGTAGCAACCTGACTTTATAAGCACAACTACATTCTTTAACCTGTCAGTAATTAGCTTAGTATAGGAAGATAAGAAAAAGCTTTATATTATATCCATTTGGCTCAGGGAGATTCCTTTACCTTACCTTTCACAGTGCTCCTATTGCTGATCAAAAGTCTAAGCCCCCATCTTTTTGTTACAGTAGTGCATGATCTACCTGGTTCCAGAAAGAATTACTGTCTAGCTCCCATCAAGAGTCTGGGTTTCAGTGGCTTTGGTGGGTGCAGGTGTCCCATCTGCCCCAGGGCACAGCAGGCCCCTCATCCTGCAGTCTTCACATTTTTAACATGACAATTTGGCCTCCAGATGATACTAAACCACACCTGTTAGCTTAAAGCATGAGGGACATTTGAGAGAATGGGTGTCTGTTCTTTCAGAGAATGATGGGCCAGGCAGACAGAGTTGGGGCACCTAGAGGACAGCACTGCTGTCCTCCAGACAAGAGTTGACCTAGAACCCCTCAGAAACAGCTCCCTGTGGGCATCTTTTCTCTCTGTTGCTTTTATTCACCAATTATTACACTTGGCTGTCTCTCTGCCTGTCCAAGAAAAGCCAGTCTTATGACTTTGATGAAGGCAGAATTATTTTTCTCTGCAGAAAGACTGATTTTATTTTTCTATCAAGGAAGTCAGAGAGACATAATTGAGTGGCAACTACATCACAGCTAGTAAGATCCTGCCAAGTTTTTACTCCATCGTGTGTTTGGGGAGGGAGCCTAGCACACAGTCTTGAGAAACTTGGGACATAACAATGTTCTTGGCAATTCATGTAGTATTTGGCTTGACGTATGGAAATCATCTGGTTTTATTTCTACAGCTAAAAAGTAATTCCTCTTCATTTTGTTATACTTCTTTGAGGAGATTGCAGTCTGAATGGAAAGTCTCACTATTTTCCAATGGACACTGAGAAATTTGTTGGGAAGCTCTGTACTATTCCAGTTGATAGACTTCCTTTTAAAAAAAATTTTAGATTCAAATTTTCAGTAAAATTCAGATAAGGTTTTATTTTTTTGGTAACTTTGGCTTTCACAACTTTAACTCTTTGAATAATCTGTGTACAATTAAGAGATTTCTGATGTTTATTCTTACAATGAGTGGATCAGTTCTAGAATTTAGTCATTTTTACTTCTGTTGAGTTTTGAGCCTCTCCAGAGTTGCATGCAGATAGCTTTAAAATTTCTGTGCATTAAAGAAAAACCCATTTAGAAAGTATCTACAAAGTAAAAACAAGAGGAAATAGAAATTATTTTTTCATGAACATTTGATACACATTTCATCAAACTAATTGATTCATCAATTTCTTACACCAGCTATAATCAATATTTAATTCAATGAGAGGGAAGCATTCATGGTTGATATTTATTGGCTTTAAAAATTCCATCCTTTACAGAGCATCAAGGTTGGGGCATCCAAAATTATATTTTTATCAAGGGAGAAAAACAAAACTCCCCAAGCCATAATGTTAAACAGAATTGGAGTATTTTCTTTAGAATTTCCTGAATAGGCAAATGAAAGCTTATTATTGAATACTTGTATTTTCTTTTCTCTCTCTGGAACATCAACACCAGTATATTGCTGGCAGCTATTATATTCAAAAAATAAAATATATTTTCACTATCAAAAAATTGTCCATGTTTTATTTCCTCTCCTCACTTAGCATGTCAATCATATTTCTTTTGAAAAGATTTTTGAATACTCACATTTTATTTTAAGAACTCTTGTGTACAATTATAAAGTATTATTGCCTAGTTTGAGAGAGGAATAGATCGAGAAAGAAGCAAGCAAGTTCTGTTTCCCATGTTGATATTTCCTAAAACAGTAAAGGAGGGAAGTGAATGTCTAATTTTGGGGGAAAAGAACTAGGCATAGAGTAAGTAGAATAGAAATATCTAAGCCCTGCACCATTTTAAACACAATCATGGTCAACATTTTATGAAAAAAACTTTTTTGTGTTGTTGATACGGAATTTGCAATGTAAATACATTTACAAGGACTTTGAAAGGAATTTACTTTCAGATAACACTCTACTGCTTTATAGAGAGTACACATTCCCTATAACGGTTTTTTAATTTCACCCTACCCATCCTTTTGAGCAATGCTTTCACTCATTTCACTTATCCATAAGCTATAATTACTCAATACATGGTTGATGCAATTATTCTGAACATTTATCTGTTAGATTAAATAAGAAGAAAATATTCCATTTTATTTTCATATATTTATTTTTTAATGTTCTTTTTTATATAGATATGTCTCTGACATATTCTCTCTCTCTCTCTCTCTCTCTGTCTCTCTCTCTCTCCCCCTCTTTTTTTTGTACTGTGGATTTAACCCAGGAGTGTTATATCATGGAGTTATATCCCCAACAATTTTTAGTTTTTATTTTGAAACAGAATCTCACTAATTTGCCTGGGGCCTCATTAAGTTGCTGAAGCTGGCCTCAGACTTTTGATCCTTCTGCTTCAGCCTCCTGAGTAGTTGGGATTACAAGCATGCATCACCATATCTGGCAGTTTTGAAGATCTTATTTTAGTTTTTCTTTCAAGATTCTTCTACTAACAACCAACTTCCTCACTGTTTTTTGAGAAAGCCTTTATTTCACCTTCATTCAAGTTGTTATTAAGGTGAAAAACACCTGTTAAACAGTCATTCTTCAATATGCAACCTTTACCACCTTGCTTCTTTAATTTAGCATAAATTTCCAAGCTTCATTGACTGTATCACATACTTATATTTAATTTCTTTTTATTACTAAATAACATTTCATTGTATGGGTGTTTCATAGTTTGTCAATCAGTACATTCATTGATGAACCTTAGGTTGTATCCACTATTTGGCTACCGTGAATAGTGCTACTGTGAACATTTGTGTATATATTTCTTTGAGTACTTGTTTTCAGTTATTTTCAGTATATATCTATGTGTTGAAGAGATGTGCTATATGGTAATTCTGTGTTAGACTTTTTGAGGAATGGCCAAACTATTTTCCACAGCATCTGAACCATTTTTCAATCAGCCTTGTACCAATGGCTCCAATTTTTCAACATCTTCGCTTACAGTTGATACTTTACTACTTTTCATATTATAGTTCTATGGCTTGAATGTAATTTGTCTACCAATGTTTCATGTGTTGGTCCTCAGTGTGGCACTGTTGAGGTGGTAGAACCTTTAAGAGGTGAGTTCTAGTGCAAAGTAATTAGGTCATGGGGGCTTGACCCTCATAAATGGATTAATGCTGTTTTGAAGGAATGCATAAGGTATGGTAGGAGTGGACTAGTACCTGAGATAGCAAGTTGTTATATAAAAAGTCTATCTTGCCATGTCACTTCACTCCCTTTTGCCCATACTCTTGCTATTATGCCATCTGCTATGTTATATTGTAACAAAGGGTCTCACCAGAGTCCAAATAGATAGGGCCCCCTGATTTTGGAATTTTAGCCTCCAAAACCATGAGCTACATAATCTTACTTTCTTTAAAA